GTTGCATTTACAAATATAACATTTACAAATCTATCACAATATAAAATTTTATATTTTATGTTTTGAAATAATTAATTTTTTTATATTATTTGTTTATTTATAATACTATATATTATTTTTTAAAAAATAATTATATACTTATATATACAAATCATTAATCTTGATAATCTATAAAGAATTAAAATGATTAAAAACGTTTAATTTTTATATTCTATTCTATTTACATATGTAACGGAATATTTCAAATTTATAAATAAAAATATTTGAGAAATTTTTATACAGTTAAAAGATCAGTGTAGTAACTTATTCTAGTTTCATTGTTAAAATTCTAACCTATAACTTCCTTATCATTTTGATATTCTTAGTATTTGATTATAATTCAGAATAACATTGCAATATTAATAATAAATTAAAATTTCAATATAATATTCAATAAAATTATAAAAAATAAAGCAAATATCTTTAGGAAAAAAATGAATAAATATCTACTACTAGAATATCTTATAAACATATTTGAAATATTGTTATTTTATAAATGATTATATTTATATAAATTAATTTAAATAAAAAATAATTAAAATAATGGTTCCATATCATTATTTATTTAAAATAAAAAACTTTTTAAAAAATATGCGTATTATTCATAATTATTTTTTATTTTATCACATTTTAAATATTTCATCACATGATAAATAATCAATTCGAGTATCTTTTGTTTTAGAAAAATAATGCATATTTAATTAATGATTATAGCATAGCTTGGAAAATATAATTCAAAATGCCTTAGAGAAAATAATTTTATTTCATTAAAATTTTTGTAAATTTAATCTAAGAAAAAAATAAAAATCAATAAATTCATTTTAATCTTTAAAGAATGTAATTTTTGCAATTTTTATTTTACTACAATATTGTTAATGAATTTAATTAAGTATAAAATGGTTCAATTTTAAGAAACTTTGAAAAATATTTTTTTAATCCATATATGATTCAATCAGAATTCACAATTCTTTTTTACATTTTGTAGAAAAGGATAACAAGTGAAAGAAAAAAGAGGCAAGTAATAAACGAAATACAAAATAAACATAACATTTGGACTTTTTGTATTATATTCTGAAATATCAATTATGCAAACAATCTATATTTAATATATTATCTATAATTTAGAATGGTGAGCATAGGAATTTTATTAAATCCAATCATTAACACTTCTCTTAGCAACGCTGCTTCTTCTAATCATAATATATAATATATAAATTAAAATAAGAATTATAAATATATTATTATTAATAATAGTAATCAGACAATAATTAACATTAATAATAATAATGTCTATGAATTTTATAATACTTATGAACATCATATATTTGTTTCTATAGTGCACAGTACAGATATGTAAATAAATGTTTTACTTATAGGTTATAATTATATAAATATATATTATAAATAATCAAAAATTAAAAAGATTTTACTTATATATTATAAAATTTATAAAATATTCATAATTTAATAATTTAAATGTTTTATATTACAAAATATAATAAAAATAATTTAACTCTTTTCCGTTTTATAAGATTTCAATACGGTAAGTTTAATATACTATGTAACATATTTAATATAACATATATCTATAAAAAAAAGTTAAAAAATACATATATATTAAATAAATATATATATTATAATATATTATAAATATAATGATATAAAAAATAAATGAGAATTAATACAATAAATTATAAAAAGTAAATATTAAGTTTAATATTAATAATAAATAAAAATCTATTTTTGTAATTATTACTATTAATTTATAAATCTATTTATTTAATTAATTATTAATTAATTTTATCTGTTATTATATTAATTATATGTATTTAATTTCAGATAATATTTTTTATAAAAATATGTCAATAGAAGAAACCAATAAACAATTTGAGAATGTTGTTGAAGAAACAAATAAAAGACAAATTATTGATGAAAGTTCTGAAATTGTAGCAAAAGCACCAAAGTTAGATATAATACAAAAGGAAAATAATGTTAAAAGAAAAAAGTTTGTGATAGTATTAGGTTATCTTGGTAAAAATTATTCTGGTATGCAAATTAATCGTGGTACAAAAACTATTGAAGGAAGTTTATTATCTGCTTTGTTAAAAGCAGATTTTATTACAAAGGATCAATTTGAAGACTTAAAAGAAATTAAATTTCAAAGAGCTGCCCGTACAGATAAAGGTGTATCAGCAGTTAGGCAAATTGTTTCTTTACAGTTGCGTAAGTATTATATTATTTCATTATTTTATTATTTATTTCTTAATAGCTACATTATTAATAATAATAATATCATGTTTCTTAATAATTAAATTATATATATTTTGAAAAAACTTAAATAATAATTTCATAATAATCATTTATAGCTAATCATGTAAATAAAGAAGACATAAATAAACATCTTCCAAAGGATATCAGAGTATTTGATATAAAGAGAGTAACAAGAAATTTTAATAGCAAAAATAAATGTGATGCTAGAACATATAGATATGTTCTTCCTACATTTGCTTTAGCTTCAGAAGATCCAAGTTTTTTACAAATGGACAAAGAAGAAGAAATAGATGAAGAGAAACGACTTGAAAAACTTTCTATGATAAATGGAAAACCATATAATGAATTTCGATTAACTTCAGATATGCTTGATAAGTTAAATGAAATTTTAAAATTATTCGAGGGTACACATAATTTTCATAATTTTACATCAAAAATGTAAGTTATTTTATATAATACAATTTTAATATTTTTTTAATTTAATATTATAATAATATAATATTTTACAATTTAATATTTCTTTATTATTTTTTTATGTATTATAATATATTTTTTATATATATATTAATACTTTTAGAAGACCAATGGATCCAAGAGCCAAACGTTATATAGTATATTTTCGCTGTATCGAAACATTTATTGCAAATAATATGGAATTTGCAATATTAGAAGTGCAAGGACAAAGTTTTATGTTACATCAAATTAGAAAAATGATATCTTTAATAATAGGAATTTGTAGAAATATTATAACGATCGATTTTGTCAAAGATGCATTTTCATTAGAAAAAATTGATATTCCTATTGCACCAGGTTTAGGACTGAGTTTACATTTTGTAAGATATTTTTATATTTTAACGTTTTAATATATGCACATATATATATGCATATATATACAGGATGTCTCAAAAATATTGGAATATCCATAAATTGATTCTTAAGATAATTTCAAGTAACATTTTTCTTTGCAAAAACATTTATTAATGAATTATTAATAAAAAATATTAGACAATCACAGAGCATGTATTAGTTGAGTTGCAATAATAACATTAGCTATTAGAAAAATGATATCTATAATAGATAGAGATTTGTAGAAATTATAACGATCGATATTGCTAATCAAAACGAACAAGCAATATATTTCGAAGAAAATATATTAAATATTACATTTATTTTTTTATTATTCATTCTTCATGATATAATTCGATATAATTTTTTATTGATAAAAAAATTTTTGTTCAATATTTTTTATTCGAGATATGTTACTCAAACTTGTTTGTGTTCGGTCGGCAATACATAACTAACGTTAATAGTGGTTCGACTACGCATTCTGTTATTGACCAATATCTTTGGTTAATAATAGTGCGATAATGAATGTTTTTACAAAGGGAAATGTTGCTTGAAATTACCTCAGAAGATACCAGAAATTATCAAGAATTATTTTAACTCCAGGAGAATGTTTCAACATTTTTGGAACACCTTGTATATTTTTTCAAATATAAAGTTGTTAAATTAGAATTTTTTAAGGTACATTATACGTATTATAATGAAAGATTTGGAAAAGATGGATTTCATGAAATGTTAGATTGGAATGAATGTAATGAAGAAATTGAAAAATTTTATAAAGAATATATTTTAAAATATATAATAGATACAGAAATATCAGATAAAGTGTATCCTTCTCGTATATATAACATATGATATATAATCATTTATTATATAATTTATTATACATAATAATCTATTTTAATTTATTTTATTACAGAATATTTTATTAAAAATATTTACCTTAACCAGTGTAATATAGAATATTATATTGGCTAGCATCATTTTTGACACCAAAAAGATTTGCACTTAAAGAACCTATAGTATAATGTAAAATATATATATATATATATATATATATATATATATATATATAAAGATCATTGTATTTCTTTATCAAAAGTATATTAAATATATTTATTAATAAGTACCTTCATTCATTCAATTATGTTTTAAAATTTAATGTTATATCTTTAAATTAACATAAGATATTCATTTTATCATTTTTATGTTTATAAAACATTTTGTTATTTTTTGTACTATCTATAGTAAAATATACATTATTTCTGTCTCGCTTTTATGTATTATCTTCAGATAATATGTATTCGCATTTCGTATTTTCCTTCACAAACATGCACGCAGACAGATATAAATACTTGTGAAACTTGTTGCTTCAATCTGGTAATTCCGAAGTGATTCAAGATCATTAATCGTTATTAAAAAGCTAAAAAAGTTCTTGCTTTTCTCTGCAATTTTCTTTAGTACTATGAAAAATACAATAATTACAATAATTTTAATAACTAAATATAGTAAGTAATTTTTTAAAATCTTATATTTATATTTTATTTAATATTAAATTAGAAATATTTAATATATAATTAATGATACTTAATAAAAACTTTTTATATTAATTGTTTATATTATGTATTAACATATATATATATAATATATATATATATATATATATATATATATATATATATATATTAAGATCATTGTATTCTTTATCAAAAGTATATTAAATATATTTATTAATAAGTACCTTCATTCATTCAATTATGTTTTAAAATTTAATGTTATATCTTTAAATTAACATAAGATATTCATTTTATCATTTTTATGTTTATAAAACATTTTGTTATTTTTTGTACTATCTATAGTAAAATATACATTATTTCTGTCTCGCTTTTATGTATTATCTTCAGATAATATGTATTCGCATTTCGTATTTTCCTTCACAAACATGCACGCAGACAGATATAAATACTTGTGAAACTTGTTGCTTCAATCTGGTAATTCCGAAGTGATTCAAGATCATTAATCGTTATTAAAAAGCTAAAAAAGTTCTTGCTTTTCTCTGCAATTTTCTTTAGTACTATGAAAAATACAATAATTACAATAATTTTAATAACTAAATATAGTAAGTAATTTTTTAAAATCTTATATTTATATTTTATTTAATATTAAATTAGAAATATTTAATATATAATTAATGATACTTAATAAAAACTTTTTATATTAATTGTTTATATTATGTATTAACATATAATATTTAATAAATTTTTAATAATATATTTATCATTTATATTTGCATTAAATCAAAATAAATACATTTTATATCTATTTTGTGTATATATATATATATATATGCATGATGCATGCATGCGTATATATATGCATATCATCCATAATGTTAAAATCATTATCTGTAAATATATATTTAGGAATTATTTTGAATATAAGATTAATTTTTATAATGTAACAATAAATAGTAATTTTAAGTCATATTTTTTTTCTATTTTTTTTTATATTAAATTATATATATATTTTTTTAATTTCTTCTACATTTATATTTTTCATTTTCATTAATTCTTATGACATTAAACCAAAAAATTAAAAAAATATTAAGTTTGTATAGTTTTAAAAATTAATTTACAATAATGATTTTGAACTCTAATAAATTTTAATATATCTTAATTATAAATTATAAATATATATAATAATAAAAAAAATAATTAATAAAAAATATAGAATAGTAAAACAAATTTGTATTATTTTATTTTAAACAAATCTTTTAAAAAAATATATGATATAGATATTTTATGATAAAAATGTAAAAATATGAAAATTAAATTTAAAATAATAAATAAAATAGTAAAATTATTATAAAATAAGATAAAAAAGTTCTATTAAAATGAAATAATTTATATTTATTTTATAGGTTTGATAAAGTATGGATATGCACAATGTGGGTAAGTTAATATCTTCCTACATACTTATTTTATCAATATATCAAATTATCAAATATTTTATCAATTTATCAAATATCATTTATAAATTTATTTAATTATTAACATTCACTAAGAAACAAACTTATAATAAAATGATGAATTGATTTCTTTACAGAATAGACAAATTCAAGTGTAAAGATGGACAATGTATAGCAAGTGAATTATTATGTGATGGACAGGCAAACTGTAAAGATGAATCTGATGAAACATATACAGAATGTAATAAGCCTGAAATGGCTACATGTCCAGATTATACATTTCGTTGTTCATATGGTGCATGTATAGATGGAGATGCAATTTGCAATGGAATAAAAAACTGTATTGACAATAGTGATGAAACATTACCTAATTGTATAAATAGTTCACTCAATGCATCTACATCATGTGCAAAAAATCAATTTAAATGTAATAATCGACAATGTATTGCTGAAAGTAATTTATGTGATGGCATAGCAGATTGTACAGATAATTCAGATGAAACAATTATTCAATGCGGTTCAATCAAGTAAGTAATATATAATTAAAAGGAAAAATTTAAAATTAATTTTATATGAATATTCAACTATATTACAATTTTAATTTGATTTATTTATATAATGATTAAAAATATTTACATTTATACTGAAAAAATTAATTTATCAATTAATTAATGTAATATATTTATAGCTGTCCTAAATTTTTTTTTCGTTGTGATTATGGTGCCTGCATTGATGGTGATTTAAAGTGCAATGGAATTAAAAATTGTGCAGATGGTTCAGATGAATATCCTAGACAATGCAAAGAAATAGAAACAACTACTGGATTAATTTCTATTACTTCAACAACTTCCCAATCTCCTGTCATAATTAAATCTAAATCTTGTCTTGTACCATCACAACCAACAAATGGTTATTGGAAATTACATAAGTCACAATGTTGTACTGAACAAGATCAATGTGAGAATTGTGATATTGAACAGGGTACATGGTTAGAATCAGGTGCATATTTAGTATATACATGCAATTCTGGTTATAAATTAAACAATTCTGGTAATGCATTTTGTAGTCACGGTGAATGGTTAACTATTCCTGCTTGTATAGGTATGAAAAAATATTGTAAAGTTATATTATATTAAATAGTAATAAGATATTGAACATATATTGTGTATTTCAGAAGTACGTTGTGCAAAATTGCAATCACCTTCTATATTTGCTGATTGTAAATATAATAGTAGATCAGTGTCATGTTTTAATTCTGTTTTACCTCAAACAATAGCACGATTAAAATGTTCTCCTGGTTATCGTGAAGATACAAGACTAACATCATCTTCATGGATTAGATGTAATAATAATGGTCAATGGGAACCAGAACCAATACAATGTATTCCAGGTCCGCTAACAATAATTATTTATAGTAATGACTCTTCTGTCTTACTGCAAACTGATGTAACAAAAAATAATTCTACATTTATAGAAATTCTTAATGATAAAATTGTTATTCATATGTATAAAAACAAAACTACTGATCCAGATATCGATATTAGATTTGATATACAAAATAAAAAATAAAAAAATATAAAAGTAAATCATTAAATACTTTTTGCGGTTTCAATATTAAAAATAATAAAAAATAATTTTATGAATTGAATTGATATATGTATCTAAAATTATTTTGTCTTAATTTAAACAAAAGATGTATTATAATTATAAATTGCAAATTTATATATAATTATATATATTAGTCATATTTATGTATTTGTTATTGAAATTTTTTTGTTGAATAACTAATATTTTATATATAT